AACAAACAAAAACTAGAAACCCATGTCTGCAATTCCCAGAGTTAGCTGCATACTTACCATCATCACTCATGTACATCTGGGTACAAATTCCTAGGACTAGATTAGCTTGTCTAATACCTAAGTGGACCTTTAAAAGACAGAATGCAGGTGTGTCTGATTTGATATGTTCAGTGTTTGGAACATATCTGTGGCTTCTTTGTTGCTTATTTGTTTAAGACAGGGAATTATTTTGTCACCCAGCTTGAACCTTGAACTTGTGAGGAGAACTTCTGCCTCTCTCCCCAAATGCTGGGTTTATAAGCATACATCACTATACCCACCATTCGCATTAGCTCTGTGGCAAGATGGGTAGCCTAGAAGAATGCATCCACTAGGCACTTCCGGAATCAATGGACAGTGAAAGACAGAAACAAGTGGTGAAAAGACTTCACATGTCTCATTTGAACAGTCCTTTCCCTCCAGTCTTCCAGCGTCTCCATTCTGCTGGTGTCTGTAGATTTCTAAGCATTGCATCTCAGTTATGTTTATGAAAAGACTTACATTTTCATTGCTACAGATTGAAGAAATTCCATGGTATCCTACACAATAAAAACCCATGTTGTCAGGAAATCCCAAACTGTTGGATTTATTCAAAATCTCATGCCAGAAGAAAGGGGACATAAGCAAATATTTTTGTATTTTGAAAAGGATGTTTTATTTCATAACATCTTGAAGGCAAGAAAGCAAACAAGCCTAGTTAATGCCTTTTTAAAAGAGAGAATATGCTTTTCTTAGTTAATGACAAAGATTTCAGAAAAAATGTTGCATTTATAAAAATGTTGATGTAGATATAATTAGATCCATTTTAGGACCAAAAGTTTTATGCAGAAACTGACAGAAGGGTACACAATAATTATAGTTTCCTGACAAGCTGAATAGAGTTTTCTTTTTTTATCTTGTGGTTTTAGAAAACCAAACTGTAAATAAATATGCAGTTTGACAGATTGTAATTGCGATCAGCAAGGCGTCTTTTCATTTAATCAGATGTTGTTATTAAAATGGGGTTACAATTAAACATTTTATAATGTGACGTAGCACTCCATTAAAATTCTCCAGCAGACGGCAGACAATTTACATCCGATGCCCAGCTTCCTTCTCTGTTTTCTGAAATGTTATTGGCTATGACCTTCACTGGATGGGTCTCTGCATTTGTTTTTCCATTTTTTCTTCTTATTTTGACAAATGATATTGGACAGCCACTATTTCTTTTCATTGCACAACTTAAATACGACTTTTGCATGTTTCTTCTTGGGTTATTATGATCCTCTTGGTGGACACACTGAAGCAGACAGAAGGCTAAAGAAAGCATTTTTACTTGACAGGAAATTCATTTTCTCTGTTTAGATAATGGTCATCTCCATCAAGTTCAAATTAATATTGAGATTACAATTAAATTTGTTTCAGGGAAGGATTAATAGGAAGCTTTTGAAGACTATAAATATCAGTTAATATTTTACATTCGTAGGAAACTGCATCCTTAAACAAGGAATGAAAAGGTGTGAAATTGAATTTGACAGTAATTAAAAGGAGAGGAATGGTCTAAAAATGCTGGACAAACATACTTACTGTTTCTGGGTTACGGCTTTAAGTCTCCATTATGGCTGTAGCACCGCCACCTGATCTACCTCAGGAACATGTGACTAAGCTGCCACAATGCCAGCACTGATGATTGGCTAATGGAAGAGAGACTCCAAATTATTACCCGTATACTTCTGACAAAACAAAGGAGCAGTGTGAGCACGGCTCTCAGGGTGTACTCTCATCCCCTGGAGATCCACCACGTTATGCAGCAAAGAGAATGTGGGAGCAATTTCTACAGCCAGAAGAAAGTTCAGCAGAGCCAATAGCAGACATCTCAACCAAGAGTAGACAAAAGCCTCCCCTGTACCATGCATGCTCTTCTCACAAGGATACACTCCACTGGAAATGACTATCGTCACCCTTGCATAGCATGAGTACTGAAGGACTTTCCATTTTCAAAGCAGAGCAAGACTAGTTTAAGTAGACTGTTATTAATTTTCCAACAAAGACCCTACAAATCAGAAAATGTGCAGCCAATAAACATTATCTGACAGTGAGACTTCAATGAGAATGCTGCTTAGATAAGTAGTGATTTGATTGTCCCTGAGGGGACTCTGTACTAATAGGACACGGAGGTTCTCCTGTTCACTCCACTCAGCAAGGCTGCCACTCTATTGTCTCACTGCTTGCATTGTTACTGCCCTACCATCTTTCTCATCCCTTCTCACTGGGCCTGTCTGTGGAATATGAACAGGATTTGAATGGTGAACCCTTTATGTGTTGGAGCTCTTAGAAATGCCTTGTTGACCATTTCATCAACCCCTTCCTTTGCTTACAAATTCTGATACTGGTGCATGACATGCTTAGTCACTGTCATTGCTACTTTCCCATTTCTTCAAAGACATCATGAGCAAGGCCACACCTCCTATTCCTTCCCAAATAGTTTCACCAATTGAGGACCACACATTCAAATGTATGAGCCCGTGTCTCAGTCAAACCACCACATAACCTGAGTTTCTGATGAACAACAAGGAGGACAGGTGCTGACTCTGCCCCTGTTCTGCCTGGTCCACAAAATGCTCATCCCATCCACCCAGCACTGGATACTTCCAGTTATTCATTCAGTAAATGCTCAAGGGCCTCCCTCCTAGGATAGGCATGGTGAGCTTGCAGTAACATTGGCTAGAATTCATTCTTAGCCCATGCCTTGTGGGAACAGGAAGCATGGACAATAGGATCATTAACTCAGCTAGGCTCCTGCTGCTGCTGCCTGAGAGTGAAAAGTCAAAGTGGCTGTTGGCAGGTAGCTAGTGTTTCTAAGCCAGTCTGGAATCATCTAGCGGGGCTTGTTATTTTGCAGCAACAAAACACAGGTAACTGTTGCATTTCAGAGACGGCCAGGGGTGGAAGCAGTATTACAGGCCTCAGCAGGCCTAGGAAGTAGAGAAGTAGAGGGGAGTACTGGAAGTAGAAGGAAGTACTGGAAGTAGAGGGGAGTACTGGGAAATGAAGTGTTTCCTTTGTAATCTGGAAAATCTTCAAGTGATCTAGCTGAAGGCTGTGTTGTGCCTCCTGCTGAGAACTCTGGTTTGCATTTCAGCAGCATGCAGAGCAGCAAACAAAATAAGTGTGTGTGTGTGTGTGTGTGTGTGTGTGTGTGTGTGTATTTGTAGTACCCCACAAATCATGACATGTATAATGCATAACTGGGCATGAAGGGCAGATGTTTACCTATTACAAAAAATCCCCACATATTTAATAGAATGAAAGCATTTTCTACATTTCATTAAATTGTCCATCTACTGGTCCAGCATTTTAGTAAAGCCACTCAAGTCAGTTTGCTTTAATGCTTTTCTCACAGGAACACACCAGGCATCTTTTTCTAGAATGTGATTTACCCAGTTTGCTAAACATAGAATCATCATCATCATCATCATCATCATATGTGTATGGGTGTTGCTCCTATGTGTATGGGTGTTTTGCTTACATGTTTGTCTTGGCCACACTTGCATATAGTGCTGGTGGAAGCTAGAAGAGGGAGTTGGATCCCTTGTAATGGGAGTAACAGACAGTTATGAGCCATAATCTGGGTGTTGGGAATCAAATCTGAGTCCTCTGAAGGAGGCCAGTTCTGTTAATTACTGAATCATCTTTCTAGGTCCCCCTATAATTCCCCCTATAATCTTTCTTATGCTTGAGTAAGAATTTTGAATTATCTGTATGTCTATTTTTAACAATACTTTTTAAATTATTTTTTTCATTTATTTTACATACCAACCACAGTTTCCCCTCCCTCCTCTCTTCCCATCCCTTCCCCCCTACTTCTCAGGCCCCATCTACTCCTCCTGTGTCTCCATTCATTAAGGGGCAGGCCTCTCATGGGAGTCAACAAAGCATGACACATCAAGTTGAGGCAGGACCAAGCTCCTCCCCTGCATCAAGGTGGGGCAAGGCTTTGGGGATTGGGTTACGAAAATCCAGCTCAAGTGCCAGGGACAGGTCCTGATACCATTGTTAGCAACTACTATGTGACTATTTTTATATCGCTTGGTCACCTAGGCATTAGAGCCAAGTATAAACCAGTCCATTTTATTAGAAATATGCAGAGACAGTAACAACACTGTGATGACAGTGTTGGGTTAGCAGACTGGAATCCAGGTTAAGAGTTCTGCATCTGAGAGTACTCATTTCTAGAACTTTGTGCAACTCATTAATGACATACGTGAAGTTCACATAATGGGCCCCTGGGTCTGTGTTAGTTCAACTGCAATTTGGTTTTCTCTTTCACAGGAAGGACAGAAGAGTGGATAGTACCCATGGCTGTCCTTGCTTGAAATTTCTCAGTTTAACTTGTACCCCTGCTCCAATGGGGCTTTCAGTAATGCAAATACTAGTCAGCATTCAAAAGATGCCTTATTAAGACTGGGAAGCCAAGATGAATATTCCTAGAGTCAGTGGAAAAGCCATCTGATTCCACTTCCAATACCGCCTGGTTAGCAGGGCAGAGAAAAGCTGCATGTGAATCTTGGATTAAAAGTGAAAACTATCTTATCCAGGTGAAGCTACAAGGGGAATTTAGATGGGATGTAATTACATCATTGGAATTTGTCCAAAGGCTTTTGAGTAACCACTCCTCCTACAAAAAGTACACTTGCCTTGGGATGCTGATGGCATGTGAGACCTGCAATTTTAACACCAAATGCAAAGCCAGCAAGTCTACCAGACATGTATAACATGGACAACTCCTTCAGCACCCATTTTGGAACATTTTTTTTAAAGATTCATTTATTTATTACATATACAGTGTTCTGCCTACATGCCAGAAGAGGGCACCAGATTGAATTGTAGATGGTTGTGAGCCACCATGTGGTTGCTGGGAAATGAACTCAGGACCCCTGGAAGAGCAGTCAGTGCTCTTAACTTCTGAGCCATCTCTCCAGACCCTAGAACAGTTTTTTAATGCTGTATTCCCATAGTTCCTATTCTTATACAATAACTCCTGTAGTCTTGCTCTGACTTTATTCTGCCGTGTCTTATTTCTATGATCACTGCTTAAAGTGGACTATATGAATCCTGCTCACAAAGTTAGTGGTGTTGTTTTTTTTCACAAAAGGTTAAATTTCATCCAAAGATACTTTCGGTGGTAAACAGTTATTATTTTTATTTAGACAGCTACTTTCCTTTTCAGAATTCAGTCTGGGCTACCAGCCAGCATTTAGGAAGACAGCAAAAGACAGCTTAAAGTCATTTTAAGGCCCCGTGACAGCGATGAAACTTATCCAGAACTAGTATTGCTGGCATTATTCTAAGCAAGTAGATGTGCATGAAGTTCCTCTGAATTTTCAAGTACAAATGAATTTCATGTAAAAAAAAAAGTCTCTGGCCTTAAGTGCAGCAGCATGCATAAGAAACAAGGGATCACGTTTTCCTATGAAGTTCTGGCTATGATAAATCAGCTGTTGAAGAAAAATTAATTTCAACAATTCCAGTGTCCAGGACAGGAGTATATCTATCTTAACCTCTCTTCTTTTAACAAATGACATAGTCACTGAACTCATCTCTCCAGAATATGCATAAGTGCATCTTTACAAGGAAGTTCTCTGCAGCAGAGATGGGAGCATGAGCAGTTCCCGGATGGGGGAAGCAGAAGCAGTGCCTGCATTCTGGTTGGGAGAAGCCACCAGATTTGAAACTGTTTTCTGAGCTTGCATTTCAGTTTCTAAGTAGATGTCTCCCTTGCCGATATTCATTCCCAAAGATTCTGATTCCACGGGTCTGCAAGAGGAGAAAACAAAGCAAGAAAGCAAACAAACAAACAAAAAACACTGCCCCATAGCCCTCCTCCAGCTGCACCATTGAAGATCCAAATCAACATGTAGATAGTGACTGAAGTATTCATTTGCCACTCATGCATAAAGACAGAGGGACAATTATCATTTTTCGGTCTAGAGCTTGATGGTGGCCAGTAAGCAAATGAAGAAAAAATTCAATGTAGAGCCTTTTGGACAAAGGCTGGTATTTTATATTATAAGGCATACATGCAGCAATTATGGGGTAAAGTCATGGAGTGAGAGGTGAAATGCATTCTAAGGAAGATTGATGTAGGTTATAAACCCAGGTTTACTTTTGATAGAATGAGATGCACCTATGAATAAAAACATACAGATAAGGGATCAATATAAGGAAATGATTTAAACCAAAATATCATAATTTACATCTATGAAATATTACATTAACATATAATACATTTCCCAATGTGTTATAGTCATCACTTGTAGGAAACACGCCAGGTACATGCTAGCCCTATAGTCTATAAAATTTAGACCCAGAATGTCTCTTGCATCCATACACCTGTTTGTGAAACCAGCCTGTGTATTCTTAGCTCTCAGGCTATTCCCTGCCTATTGTTATATTTTTGCATTTCAACTTGTATGTACCACATATTTATAAACCACCCTGATCAAGCCTGAACCAGCTTGATTACTTTTGATTTGTGCTGTAAGATTTCTTTATTCTTCCTGGAAATATCCAGACATTTTACTCTAAACCCATTCTTTCTTTCTTTAGATTTATTTACTACCTTTAGAAGTAGAAAAGTCCAATTTCAATCATGTTTGAAATAACTCATTTCAGACAAGTACGTGCCGCTCTGCTTACAAAACACATATGAGTGGAATATGCAATTACTACAACTGCGCTTCCTGCCACAGGAACATTTCAGCATTATAGCATTACAGGAATAGAATGACATGCATAATGAAAGATTTCAAGATTCACCCAAGGCATTTATTCTCTTCACCTTAATGTTCTCAGCAGTAGCAGAGTATCCATTAAAAGGTACTATGAATTATGGTTGCCTAGCAACTGGAAGGAGCTTGTAACAGCACCAAAGAATGAAATGGCTGGTTGATAAAATGAATTTTCTCTGAGCATTAGCCTGTTGAAACTGCCTTTTCTTGTGGAACATAAAGTGCATTTATTTGTCTCATGCATTTTTTATTAGAAAATTATTTGAGTTCCGGGGACTTGAATCGTCTTGCTACAGGAGATATTTGATTTTAATGTGTTGTACTAAAATAAGTAATAAAAGACACTTTCTTCAAAGCAAAGTCACCAAACAATCCTGTGTGGATTTTTGAAGAAGAAATAAAATATTTGATAAGCTATTCTACATTGGTTTCTAATTAAGAACAGTCTCTGGTAGGATTCATAATCCTGCACATGCTTTCCAAGGTATAAGGTTGAAATAACAGATTCTTAGTTATTTGAACTACAGAAACATTCTGTAGTCTATGAAAACACACAGGAAGAATAGATTTTAAATCTTTCCCTTTGGTATGTGTAAAAATTCATTTCAACAAAAATCTAAATATTTATCAGAAACTTTACTAGTCACATTTTATCTCATTTTACCTTATTTGGGTTTATTCTTGATTTACTTATAGTTGTAGGCATCTGGTATGCTGGAATATTATCTCAATGTCATTCTTAAGCCCTTTTGTTGCAGTGATTAGATTATGCCTCATGTATTATTGCCCTGCAAATCTCTTGTCCCCCCACAAAATAAAATGCTCCCAGGGAACAGGATTAGATGGTATCAGTATACATCCAAAACATACGGTACCACTGTTTCTATAATTTAAAGTGGTCAGTAGAAGCTGCAAACATCTTAAAGCTGCCAAAGCAGTTTAAAAATAGCTTAAAGCAGAAACAGCCAGAAAAAAAGCTAATATGCAGACTCATTTCCAATTTTCTTTTGGCTCCTCATTTCATCCACTTCAGTATACTCTTCATATATACACCTAGGATAGTTCATAACGTATTTTTATCTGCCTCAGCCAAACATAGCACATTTATTCATCTACTTCCATGGGCCTGGAAATTGTATTTCTTAAATGACAACCATTACATGTCCAGTGGCTGTTTTATGTAACATCTTGCTTATGAATGTTGAGTACATGATTCATTTTATGATGACCTAACCTCTGGTTGGAAAGGGGGGTTGCATTATTTCAGTGTTTATGCCCCTGATGCTTCTTTGTCCATAAGGAAATGAATTTTTCAAACCATGTCTAGAGCAAGTGAACTCTGACAAGTGAAAGGGATAAATGGGAATAATATTGATCACTGTAAATGGAAAGAATTTTTACATAGTAATTCCTCATATAGATTAATAATGAAAGGACCATCTTCTGAAATGACAGTTTTGGAGTCAACTTTAGAGTTCAACTGGGTTTTAACCTATATCCATTGAAACATATCCAAGTATAATATGACCAGAGAGCACAAACTTCCCCACTACAGCTCCCTGGCTCCACTTGGTGAAGGGTGATCAGCTATTCTTACCTTAACTAAAATGAGATAGTAAGATTCCCCGCTTCAGGATTAAGCAGCTGACCCAGTTTTCTCTTTAAGGTGAAATTCTCATTTGAGAACTCTGCCAAGGCTGTTGTGGGTGAGATTCAGACATCATTCTCTTCTTAACGGGACTAAAAACGCTTATCAAAACCAGTCAGAATTATCATCTTTAACAACAACAACAAAAATGTTCTGGTTTCTACTACCTAGATTTTGGTAGAAATTGAAAATGAGGCTGCTAGCCTGTATCGATGACTAAGACTCCTCTTAAAATGATGCTTTGCTAGGGCTGACTTTCTCTGGTGAGGCATAAGCTTGGAGTAACTCTCATTAACCAGATAGTGCAAAACAAAGACGTATAGTTGAGAACAGAGCAGGTTAGCCTCAGCCTTGCAGCTCATCAAAGCTTACCAAGGAGTCCATATACATGATTGCATTCAATGTTTACACCCAGCCTGTATTAGAAGGGGTTCAAGAGATACCACTAAAAATGCAGGGGTCCTTGCAAAACACACTGGGTTTGGAGTGACAGAACAAGATCGGGGCTGCATTGAAATGTGTATATGCAGCCAAACTATTGGAACCTTCAGGGACCTCTATAGCCTCTAAAGGAAATGATACTGTCCCCCTTCGTGTGTTAACCCCAAGATCAGGTGTGTAATCATGCATGTAATAGATGCTCAATAAACACAGATAGAACCTGAATTGGAGTTGATTTGCAGCCTTGAGCCTCAGAGTAGACAGGGAGATTCCTGTGGAAAAGCAACTCTGAAGTCACACATGAGGAGGAAGACCTTTAAAAGCTATTCTGAGTGGCAATAGATTTTCCATTCCTGTGGTTGGCGTTGCAAGGGAATCACAGGACTCTTTCTGAGCAAGAACTGGTCTGGATGGAGAGCAACTTGAACTCATGCAAAATGTGAACACAGATGAGTGTGCCACCTACTCGTGTGCCCCAATACCCTCTGCTTCCTTAGTCTTAGAAACTATTCTCATGGGTTCCCTGCTTCACCAACTGAAACTTCCTATGTGTTGCTTTGCCATAATATCACAATCATTTGAAATTCAGAAGCAATGGAAGTCCCTTCCCCCAAACCAATATTTAAGCATATTTTGTTTTCATCATGAATGTATGAGAAGACATGTTACTAAAATTAATTGTAACCTGTGAGGGCTACCTTTTCCAGTATAACTAAAGATAAATGAAGACAGCTTGGAGAAATGAAAGCTATATTTTCAAGCCATATATGAATAATCAAACACGTGAATAAATCACACATTAATCATTACTAATATTTTGCAAAGGTGTAAATTAAAATTCCAGAGGGAACTTGACTGATTTGATTAACAATGTGTTTAATAAAGTAGAATCCCTCTTGAACATAAAACTATTACTCCTAATAATCCTGTGTAGCTATTGAAAAAACCAAATTGAAAACTCATTCTGATATTTGCATAGAATTATGAGACGCTGCCTTCATGTGTTTACCATGGGCTTAAAAGCAGAAGGGTTTTCAATGAAGAAAGGCTCCTGAAAATATGTTTATGCTCTTATTTATTCTCAAATGTTTTACGATTGTTAGAGTTTAGGGTCCCATTATTAGATCACATGCGATTGTGGCAAATTATTTTCAATTTAATATGAAATATTTAATTAATTTTTCCCTAAGGAAAATCATGAACTTGCTAGTCTTTTGATAGGTTGTCAAACCTCCATTAAAAGCAGAGGTAGATATGTCCTAGGTAGGCAAGCTAGCAGGATTTATCATTCATGGAAATCACATCCATGGTTCATCCACAGTTCTTACTGACTCATGTGTGTAGGATGTGTTTTTTTAAAGACTTCTATTTAAATGAAATTCCACTTCTGCAGCCATCTATGAAAAAGTGGCAGAATCTAACATTTTAGTCTTGGAATGACTATAGCCTCATGAATATTCCATCACTGACAGTTGCCAGGATTTTCAAATAAGCAACAACAGAAGGTCAAAAAGAAGCAGAGAACATTACTGAGTTTTCCGTGGTGTTGCAGTTTGATTTTGAGTGATGCATTTCTCCATATGATGGGCTCATGTCACCTCTGTGGTTGCCATGCTCTTGTGATATACGGCTTGTGCCCTCCAGAACGTGCTGTACAGAGTATTGTTTTCTTGACATGTTAATGTATTCTATAGTATCCAGGAGTTCAGCATCTGAATTCTAGAATGCTGCCATGTAGACAGAAATGGGGTAATAAAAACAAATTGAATATTAATTGAAAATAAAATAAATGTGTATAAGGTAAGAAATAAGTGATAATTAGTGAAAATGGTAGTCATAACTTAGGAAAAAAATATGATTTCATATAGGTGAACTTGACTCTAGACTATTCTATCTCTAAGAAGTCATTATGTAATCCAAGGTTTAATTGACCTGATTTTTCACACTGTCAGTGGTGATATTAGAAGGTGGATGCAATTATTAGAAATATATTTTTATTACATCCAGAGGTAATATTCTGAGAGTTCAGAGCTGTGGTCTAGGAAAAGAAATGAACTCTGACCAAAGCAAGCAACAAACAAACAAAAACCAAACCAGAATACAAAACAGACAAAAAACAAACAACAACAACAAAAATGAAGCTGCCTCACATGCCTTTGTGCCTCTTGAGACAGAATGCATATGCCTCCCCCGTGATTCGGGACCATGTGCTAGAAAGAGTCTCAGCATGTCTTTGTGTATGATGCAAGTGAGTGATAGCTCTGATTGCCTTGCCTGTTATGTTCAGACTATCACCTGATCCACTCTCAACAGCTGTGCTAAGGCAATACGTGGGACAGAGGGAGTACTGCAAGGGCATCTCCTCTCATGGGTAAATACGAATTGAAAACGTAATTGAAGTAATATGGAATTCTAAAGGTCAGTTCAGAAATGTTTCTCCTATGACCTATTATATGAATCACAGCAGCAGTTGAAGGTGGTTCCCCCCTGTTTATGTGTTATCAACGTCCGTCCTAATGTAGCCAGAGGTCCTTGCTCAAACCCCCATGCCACAGCCAGGATCACAGCAGAAAGTGTCTACTCAAGGTTCTGACAAAGCCAAATGGAGGGAAAATAAAATGCAGAGACTCTTGAGCTTTGTGGACACTAGCATCTTATTAACATGAGGGCTGGGGAAAATCAGAGTGAACAAAGTGTCCAACTCAGACTTCCTGGATATTCTTCAAATCCTTTGTGAAATAATTTATACACTGAAGTTGTGAACTGCAACTCAGGCTCGTGCTGGGATCTCTATGGCAACATTATGGTATTTAGTCTACACAGCATCTCTCAAAGATAGGCACAGGAGTGCCGTGTTTTGTTGACAGAGAAACTGGTGCTCGGGGAATTAAAGCAAGCATTAAAACCTAGTCGAGGCTTAATGGCCATGCTAGAACTCAGTATAAATAAAGCTGATGCTGGAGGATTCTGAGCTCAAGACAGCTTGGGTGGTAAAGTTAGTGAGAACCTGTCTCAAAAAAGAAAAGCAAAAATTGAGAAAGCGGTTCGACAGTAGATTACTGGTCTGCTGTGGCTATCACCCTGGGTTCATCCCCAACCCCATAAAAAACAAAGAAACCGAAGATCTGCTTACTTGCATTATTTCCAGAGCATTCCAACCCAATCAATGTGCTGTGCTATACAGAGGTAAAAGAGAATCCCTGTTAGGGAGCAGCCAGTGGCTGCAGCACATGAGGAGGCGGGACCACAGAGAGCAGCCAGTGGCTGCAGCACATGAGGAGGCGGGACCACAGAGAGCAGCCAGTGGCTGCAGCACAGAAGGAGGCGGGACCACTGTTAGAGAGCTGCCAGTGGCTGCAGCACAGGAGGAGGCGGGGCCACAGTTAGAGAGCTGCCAGTGGCTGCAGCACAGGAGGAGGCGGGGCCACAGTTAGAGAGCTGCCAGTGGCTGCAGCACATGAGGGAGCAGGCTCACATGATCGTCAAATCCAAAAGTTCAAGGAGACAGGTAATGAATTTGTCTGAACTCCTGGGCTCCATATCCAGCATAAACAGGGTCTGGGTGGTGGGAAGCATCCCACTAAGTCACTAGTACCCTGTGCAACTGCTCACATCTCGCCAAAGTCACATTTCTGTGCAATGTGCTTTGATCTCAGTGTTCAGATTCTTTTTTACATAATGGATACATAAAATAGAGGGTTTCACGTGAACTTACCTATATTGCTTACCTACTTACACATATGCTTATGTGTAAAGAACTATAATCTTTTTGTTTATAAGAGAGAATTCAGAGCTATATTTTTCTGTTTTCCAAACAATAACTATTCTTTAAACGTAGGAAGGTCACATTCCACAAAAATCATCAGAATTGCTAATAATGCACATGTGAGAAAAAATAATTACCAAGCAAAGTGTTATCAGAAGTGTTCTTAAGAAGAAATTCTTACACCAAGAGCAACATGAAACAGCTCTTTCTCGTGTTCCTTGTACATCATGATGGACTTTTTTAGAGGAATGGTGATCCTAAGAATGAAGAAAACTCCCATGGCAGAAGACTACATAATGGACATTGAGTGACAGTGAGTGCAAAGAGTCCTTACTCATTCATCTGAGAAGTGGGGATAGCACTGGTGTTCTCAACTGAGCTTGGGTGGCATATGGAGGACTAAATCTACAGCATGGGAGAAAAACCTTCTTGTAGCAACTTGTATGATCATCAAGAAGTCTGCAAATCCCAATCTGACCCATGATGTCATGGCATGGTAATGTTTTCAACTTCATCTAACATTAGCAGGACCCTTATCTCACTATTATTTCAAAGCACATGAGTGCAATTTGGGAAGATTCTTAGCACAGTTAAAAAACAAAGAATGCCTCTGACAGTACCATGGAGCAGCCAGTGGTAATGCTGGCAAACAGGCTTTTGTCCTCATTTTTAACTTTCATAAAGCTAGTGCATTTAGCTTCTAGAGGAAGTGGCCTTCCTAGCCACTACCCAGGGCTGCCCCCATCTTCACCAGCTAACTGGGAAGGGTTCAGAAGCTGAACTCAATTCATTCTTTTCATTTGATAGCCTTCACATTTCCACCATAAACACTTTTGAAGTTGAGGTCAGCACTGAGCTGTATCTTCAAGTATTTGAAGGCTTTTGTTATTTTCTTGTGGAAAACCAACTTAGCCTTATGAAGTACATTGTTGGTGTTCAACAAGCAAGATAACCAGCCCACCCTAAGAAGTGAAGGTCAATGTAATTCTACAAACTATAACAAGGGCTGACTTATTTTATTAGGGAGCTGCTAATATAGTCCCCAAAAGGTTGTAATTGCCTCCATTTATACCAAATTAAGGTGTTTGTGCATATATACTAAAAGGCATGTGTGCCATACAATGTAAATGATATTTTCAGTTTTGAAAATGCTATTAGTTAGATAATGTGGTCCATATGTCTTGGGTACCAACCACCGAAACAGTGGGTATTACCTGAACTGTGTATTACTTGGGGTGGCCAGTATTTCTATAGTCAGAGAAGAGTAGATAATTTCTTTAGGGAAAGTGAAGAAATATTTTATTCTAGCCAGCCAACAATGGGCATGAAATTGTATTGAATTCAGTTTTTGTCCAGGTTCATATCTGTGTTTATGTGTGGACCTTTATGTACACATGTGCATAAGGGTTCATCTAAAAGCAAATTGAAGGTAAGTCATAATTCCCATATAAAATTAAACTGTAGATACTTGCTATGGATGTGAAGTAATTACACTGCTGTATTGACAGCTAAAACAAAATAAATCAGTGTGATAGAACAGAAAGAAACTGTATTTGAACATGTACATTTGTCCTCAAACACATGATTTCAACCAACAAATTCATCCACTTGTAGGTGTTTCTAGAAGCAGGCAATAACATAGTTCTGCCACATTCCCATTAGTGTTGCTGACTTCTTTGTAATTCTGATGCGTAGCCCCTACATTTGCTTCTTACCTCTTTGGAACATCAGTGAGCTGTTTTATAGTTAAGCAAATGGGAGAGCTGGAAGGTGAAGTGACTGTCCAAAGTCACGTAGGATAAGTGAAGTTAAAAAGGCTCAAGACAATGAGACCCTGATGAGCGACATGCAACTTCTCCTAAGATCTTCTGGGAACTATACAGTCCACACATTCAGCCCAGACACTGACACACACAACATGTGTCTGAGTCAGGTTTAATTGGTGTGATTTTATCTAGCTGACAGTACCTCACTAAAGATCCTGCAAAGGCAGAGTTCTCTCGAAGCGTGATACCTTTAAGGGAGCCCCAAATCAGAACATATTCTTCTTTATCTGTTTCAGACACAGCATAGCTAGCGCTTGTCATGCAACTATAATTCAAGTGCATTTTAGTCCAGTATTGGGGCATTTAAAGACTGTTCGTTTTAACCAGTTAGACCGAGAGGCAGCAGGGAAGTAGTACTTTCTGTGTGGAGAAGAAAACACCCATTATTGGCTTATTTACCTACCCTTGTCTCTTTCCCTGCATACCCCCCTTCACTGCGGTCTCCTTCAGATTTTTGTGCTTCCTAACACTGATCTAATCACCATCCTTGCAGGCATGCATGTCATGGAGTGAAGAAACACTGAGAACCAAAGCATTGAATGTTACAAGGAAGAAAGGAAAATATGAAGCTAATTCTTCTTCTAACTTTGACATAGGGTTTGCTTGGTGATAAGTACATAAAAATATATTTGATAGTGAGAATATAAAATCTAACATGAGGCACAGCAATTGTGATGAGGATAAATTGCTGAAAGGGCTTGAGGACTAAAGTCACTAGGGGAAGGTTTCCTCCCACAAAAGGGGCATTCTTGTCCTTCACACACCAAGTCTGGTTCATTGTCACCCTTCACTTGTGGTGTGCTCTGAAAGTAAATGCACACCGTCTAGAAAATGAGCAGTAAAGGCTCCATGACACTGGCAGGAATTGACTGCATTTGTTCTGTGCAAAGTTTAAAAACATAGACTCTGGCCTATCCCCAAGAAAAGTCTGCAGATGGGACTCAAAACTCACATAAACTGCACTTCTTTCCCGCATCTGATTTGGTGTCCAAATCAGGCTTTCCAGACGCTTAGCTTCCACGCTCAACAATGGAGCTGACCTTCCATCTCCCTAGAAATTCAGTTTCTCTCATCCCCACCCTAATATACTCATTTTTCACCCATTTCCCATTTTTATATAG